GTTTCATGTTAATTCAATCCTCTTGCGTTCGTGCTTTGTTGTCCAGTGTTTTACTTGGCCACAGCAGTGTTTTTGCAACAGGCCCCCAGCCTTGCATGCTTACCTTGATCTCTCCTGTTTCTATGTTACTATCGCTAAAAGCAGTACTTTGGGACATTTCCCCAGAAAACCACTGTTAAAAGAAAGCATTCAGTCACCTACCCTGCTCCAGGCAGTACAATCTGTCTGTTACAGCAATGCTGTTTTAAAACACAGGGTTTTTTTCCCCTTGACTATTGGGAAATGCTACGCAGAGCAGAGGAAGTGTTCTGTCAATCCTCCACCTGACCAGAGAAGCACACGGGGATAACATAGCGTGCAAATTTGCACAGCCGTAGCCTTGAAGAAGCCGTGATTCCTCACCCAGGTACAGAGAAATCGTCCACGTGATGTGCTTCTTCCACTTTTCCAGCTACTCACACTACCCCTTCAGCTATGAGTTTCATTTCTAATGCAACTGCAGGGAAGAGTAAACAAAACGCATCCCTCTGCTTCAGGCGATAATGTGCCCCCTGCAGCTTTCCTGGCCTAACTGGCTGACCTGCTGCTGTCCCTTCCTCACCGCAGTCTGACAAGAAGAAACATGAAGAATCTCTCATTCACTGCAGGGAAGAAAAGGCTCAGAAGAATGGAAAGGTGACCACAAAAGGGAGAAATCCTGAAAAAATAATTAAAATATGACAGGCCTAAACTGAGGTGAGGTGAAGAAGAAAGTTCAAGAGAAAATGAAATTAAAATGGAAAACAAAAGACAAAAAAAGGGAAGATACTAAAGAATAAGTTAGTATGATGAAAATAGAAGGCAGATAGGCAAAATCATGTTGTAGAGGAAGCAGAGATTAGACTAACATGGGAAAGATTAGAAGAGGCAGTCTTGAAGGAAAGAGATACAAAAGACATTAAGGATCAGAAAAAAAAGGAAGTTACAATGTCATCATAGAAGAAAAGCTATTTTACCAGTCCTTTGGTATTCATCGTGTAATGATCATTAGGCTATTAAAAGTTCTGAAACCTTTCCAGTGAGCAGCCAGTTCCTCGAACCCAGCTGCTGTCAGAAGCCAATGTTCTGGCATGTGGATAAACTGATAATTTAGCAAATGACCCCGGTGGATGGGCAGGCTTATAGCAGCAAATGGCAACTGTAAAAAAAAAAAAGCTAGTTTTTATTCAGACCAGCCTCTGGCCTTCAGGCTGAGAGGATACCAAAAGCCTGTTTTGTAAGATTTATATTTTCTCTTCCTCATTCTTGATATCTCCAGTGCAGGGAAAGAAAAAAAAACAACCAACCAACCAAGTAGCTTTTACAATTGCTATTTGAAATATGAAGCAAGCATCTTATTTAAAGGCAACCAACCAGATAAGCTAGTTAAAATGGCACAATAACAACCTTTTCCTGGTCTCCCAGTGTAGGCAACTGAAGGTAAAGTATAATAATGTAATCCCAATTACTGTACCATGATGCCAACAACCCTTGTTCAATAGAGGATTTCTGCTGACATTCAACTGGTAAAGAGGAGTCAGCTGAAAAGTAGAATTACATGCAAAAGACCAAGTGACACGAAAATTTAGCTCACAGTATAAAGACTATCTACCCTGCACTAGGCAGATGGAGATTATACTTTATTCTATAACCTTGTGCATGGTTGATTATACTGCACCACAGAGAGACAGAACAGTAATAACATGACTGCAAATGACTGAATTTTGCCAAGCTGTTCCACGCAGATACCAGCCAACTTGAACAAAATGAATAATAATGAAATTAAGGCAAATTATTAGTTCAAGCAAGATCCACTACTATATGTTTGGCATGCTGTAATATAATTAAAACTGATCAAACTATTAATCATGGAAAATTATCAGTCACATTTTGCCCTTGTTTCTGTTAGTGACTCTTCTGTGACGAGATCATGGCTTTTATAGACTGCTTTGCTTTTGATGTTCGTTCTAATTGCTCAAAATCAGTAAGTGAGGAAAAAATTAACCTACAGGCTTCTTTTGTATTGTTGCTACCAGACTTCAAGTATACTGAAGTACTCATATTCAGTTTACTAACAATAGCATAGTTGCTCACTTAGTTGTCTGATATAATCTATGTTCCCCTACAAAATGAGGAGGAGGAATGATGAAAGTAATGGGAGTAATGAATTTCTGTGACATGTAAGACACAGAGGGTAGAAGGCAGGCCTAACAAATGGTAGGAAATGCCTGAAATTTCCACCCACCTATGCAAGGAAAATCAATTTATCTAATATTATGAGAAGCCTTCAATTAGAACAACCAAGTATTCCACCCTCTGCCATGTAACAGCAGAATGTGCATGGTAATCAAGTAACGTAACTCTCCTGTAAGGTAGGAAAGTACTATAATCACCATCTGACAGGTGAGGAATGAAGACACAAAGACTACATCTAAGCCTGGGGAACTAGGCTTCTGCATCCATATTATACGCCAGCCACATCTTTACATGAGCGTGTGACAATTTACTTCCATCCCAAGTGGAAGACGGAGAGCAACTTGGGCACCTATGTGGGGAGAGATCTTCAGTGCATGCCAGTCAAATCCCCAGTCTGAATGGACCATAGCTGTGCATGCAGATAGACTGTCAGTCTAGATACAGCTGAAGAGGTTTACCAGAACCCACGGTGGTTAAAGCACATGTACCTGAAATAAGGCGTCTTATATTCATCTTCAACCTCCCAATTAATGACAATGTTTCCTGTTTATCTCATGTCTTGCCAGAGGACCCGTGCTACCCTGTGTCACGCTCCATCAAAAAAAAAAAAAATCTGATTTTTGAGTAACAGTCTTCCGTTAGTTTATATTCTGATGCCATTACTTCTGCTGGAAAGTAAATACTAATTAGAACAACTGTATTGAAGTTAATATAGCATGACAGCTTAAATTAATAAATATAACCCAAATAACTAAATATGGTTTTTCTCCAAGAAGTCTAGCCTTTTTGCCTTATTTTGCCAAACAGCTATTCTCTTCACCCACTCCCATCTACATCGCATGCATTAACTGTGTGACATGGCAGCAAGCATGCTTCAGGCCAACTGAGAAAGTCTGCATTATTTTACTCAAGCCACTAATTAAAAGCATAACAGAGGAATTAATATATACAATAAACTTTTATAAAATGAGGAGCAACTGATGATTGTTTGCCAGATCAGTTACCAGATGTTTTAACCGCTACTTTGTTTCCTGTTGGAAGCATCCCTTCACTCCTAATCAGATCTTCACTTGGGCTCCTAGCTTGTGTGCACGCACGCGGTCTAGACAATCATGTAACATTTCCCTTTCGGATCGATCCTCATTGCTCTCTGGCACAAAATAACTCTGTTAAGGACTTTACATGGTAGCTAAGCGTTAGAGCATTAAGACAGTAGCACTGAGCCGCACAAGTCCATCCTCTCATTGCAAGCACTGATGCCTGGTGTTGGGTGCTTCATTTGGAGAGTATGTTAGCAAAGATTTTTTTGTTCCCAACACTTAATCTGCACACATGGTACTACATGGTCCTAGGGACAGGAAATTAATTTTATGTTGGGTTCTAACAATGTGTCTGTTCATTCAACAAGGCCAAGTGCAAGGTCCTGCACCTGAGTCGGGGCAATCCCAAGGACAGGCTGGGCAGAGAATGGATTGAGGACAGCCCTGAGTAGCAGGACCTGAGGGTGCTGGTTGATAAGAAGCTCAACATGAGCCGTTAATGTGCACTTACAGGCCAGGAAGCCAACTGTATCCTGGGCTGCATCAGAAGAAGTGTGGCCAGCAGGTCGAGGGAGGTGATTCTGCCCCTCTACTCTGCTCAGGTAAGACCCCACCTGGAATAATGCATCCAGCTCTGGAGTCCTCGACATAAGAAGGACATGGACCTGTTGGAGCAGGTCCAGAGGAGGGCCAGGAAGACGATCAGTGGGCTGGAGCACCTATCCTATGAGGACAGGCTGAGAGAATTGGGGTTGTTCAGCCTGGAGAAGAAAAGACTCCGGGAAGACCTTACAGCGGCCTTTCAGTGCCTAAAGGGGTCCTACAGGAAAGATGGGGAGGGACTCAGGGAGTGTAGTGATAGGACGAGGGGTAACGGTTTTAAACTGAAAGAGGGTGGATTTATATTAGATATTAGGAAGTAATTCTTTACTTTGAGGGTGGTGAGAGACTGGAACAGGTTGCCCAGGGAAGTTGTGGATGCCCCATCCCTGGAAGTGTTCAAGGCCAGGTTGGATGGGGCTTTGAGCAACCTGGCCTAGTGGGAGGTGTCCCTGCCCATGGCAGCGGGGTTGGAACCAGATGGTCTTCAAGGTCCCTTCCAACCCAAACCATTCTACGCTTTACTGCTTCATCTGATGTATTTTTTAAAGCAACCACAGAGTGACAAAAACTATTTTACTGCATTAATTTAGGAACAGAAAGGGAACCAAATGCAGCGGAAGGCGTTCGGCGGGAATCCTGCCGATGCGGAGGTGCCTTCACCCTCTGCTACCTGAGCCTTTTACGCACGATGGCCTACGCTACGTCACTGCCCTTCTTTGCTTCCGTCCTCGCCCTGTTTGCACAGGGTAAGCTCAGCAAGTGCAGGGACGTGGCTTGGGGACAAACACCCTGCGCTCCGCCCCGCTCTCCCCGGGCAGGCGAGGAGCCCAAGCAGCTAAAGGTGAGGACGGGGACACACAGGGACCCCATCCCGCTTTTCTCCCCGTATCCCGAAGCGGCGGGGGGGACCGGGTCCCTCCCCTTGCCCCTCCCCCCCGCCCTCCCCCGGGCTTTATATAAGGCCGCGGAGTTTCCGCGTCCTGTGACTGTAGTCAGGTGGTTGCGGGGTTTCCCTCCCTCCCTCCTTCTTTTCCTCCCTCCCTTCACACTCCTTCCTTTCTTCCCTCCCTCCCGCTCCGTCTTCTCCCGCTCGCCTCCCCTCTCCGGCGTGGGCCGGCCCAGCGCGGGGAGCCTGCTGGGGAGAAAGTTGGGAGGAAAAGTCGCCGGCTGAGAAAGTTTAGAAGCGGGAGAGTACTCCCCGCCGGGCCCCCGCATCGCTGACACCCCCCTCCCCCTCCCCGCCCCGGGAGGGCTGAGGATGGCCGGCGGGGAGGGAGCGGGCTCCGGCGTGGCGGAGTGCCGGGAGCATCTCTTCAAGGTGCTGGTGATCGGGGAGCTGGGCGTGGGTAAAACCAGCATTATCAAGCGGTACGTGCACCAGCTCTTCTCCCAGCACTACCGGGCCACCATCGGGGTGGATTTCGCCCTCAAAGTCATCAACTGGGACAGCAAGACCCTGGTGCGGCTGCAGCTGTGGGATATAGCAGGTAAGGGCCGGGGGCGGGAGTTTCTCTGCAAGGCGAGCCCCGAGGGCGCTGAGGCCCGGGAACCCGGCTGTATGGGGTCCCGGGGCCCGGCTGCTGAGGAGCGAAGGGTATTCTGACTGTGAAGCCTGTCTTCTTGTTTTTCTCCTTCCCACTATTACCTCCACCCCCTCCTTTCTGCGTTTGAGGCATAAAAAGAGGGAGGGCTCGAAGAGGGAGTGAAGGTTTTGACTTTTTATCGACTCTGTGCCCCTGTTAGCTGACGTTGTGGGGCTCTTGGCTCGGCTCGGCCCAGGGTTTTACAGCAGTCCTCAAAAACCTGCTCTGCCCTGCTTGGTGGCTTCAGAGCTCCCGGAGGGTGTCTGCTCATCCTGACCCGTTTGCCTGGGAGCTTGTGGCCTTGGAGATGATTGCTGCTTAAATTCATTCATGGTTACGGCTCCATAACACTTCTAGAGGAAGTAAATACTTTTTTCCAAGTAGGTTATGTTTAGTAAGCACACTTTTTAGGTTAAAGGTAACTCAAATAGCTAAAATTGTCCTCAAAGGAAGTATGCTCAAACTTTGTATTTTTGAGTCACCTACTTAATTTAAAAGTAACTTGTGTCCCTGCAACATGGAGTAACAGAATGGGGCTTGTGTTATGCTTAGTTCTACATTCAAATCATGGGTTTGTGTATCAAAAAGATACTTTGAGCACGCAGAAGCAGAAAAGCTCTGTTCACTTGTCCAAGCTACATCTCAATCCTTCCCTATATGTAATTCAAAACTGGTTTTAAAATATCTGTCTCAGAGACTTCAACTGTATACCTATCATGGTGAACTTTGCTTATGCAGTGGTGTTAAATGCCACAGAACAAGCTATTTTGCTGTGATCTTGTAAGAAGTCTGTGTCCTCAAGTCCTTAATCTTCTCAAGTTGGTGTTGCATTTCTAGTTTTGTGTGCAGCTCGGGTGTTAACCTTCAGGTGTCTTCGTCCCTCTCCAGTGTGTTCAGAATATCTCCTTGGATATAGAAAGTAGACTTTATTTCAAATGCTGTGTTTAAATTTATGCTACTGGAAGATACTAGGATAGCAGCTGGTAGTTACTGTTTCCATGAACTCTCCGTTTTATCAAGTGGAAGCTCGGAAAAGAGGAAGCGTAACATGTGGCTGCTGTAACCCTGTGACAGACGAGCTGTATGTCAGGTCCTGGTATTTCTGATCTAAAGGTTATCTTAAACCACTTCAAATATGATTCCTCAAACTAAAAAGTCTGCTTCTTGCTGCCATATGCTGAAACATGTGATAGATCTCTCTGCTGCTGGCCTGTAGGGCAAACTAAAATGTTTTCTAATTGCTGTTTTGGAAAACAAGTAAAATGTTGGCATGCTTTTGCTTCTTATAGGCTTATTTTACAGATCAGTTTTAACTGTCTTTAAATCAATTGGCAGTATTGGTGTAAGCTGCTACATCCCTCTGGATGTATGTTAGCAAGTCTGGGGTTCCACAGATTAAAGAGGGGATCCTGGGGTTTGGCAGGCTGCCATGCTTGTGTTTAACTTTTGCTCAGCCTTGGCTTCTGAGACTGGGTTAGGCTGTGTGCTTTGCCAAAGCAATGTTTCAACAGGCCAGACAACTTGTAACAAAGTTTGGACAGAACATTATGGGAAGTCCTGTCAATACACCTATGCCTTCAAGATCTAGAAGATGGTATTTTTCACTCTCGATTTTTGTCATTAGAGTATCTTGGACACTGCTACATGAAAACTGAGTTAAGAGCTGCTGCTAACTCCCTAGATGCTTGTGCTAATATTGCTGATAGATTGAAGAAGAAACTTTTTCCTGTCACTGAGATATTTCTCCTATTTTACAGTATGGTGTATACTTTTCTATGAAACTCCTGACTATCCTTTTCCTAGCAAAAATGAAAATACAACTATTTTGCAACTTGCACTCCAAACTCATGTCTAATCTGGTAGTTTGGGCTAGTCTGGTTCCAAGGGGGTGTCCATCCTTCCCTAGTCAAAAAAAAAAAAAAAAGATGGAGAATAGAAGTAATCTTAGTCTTAGTGATTTTTTGATTAGGCTGTGCTTAGCCATTGTGAGACAGTTCAGATTCCTATAGAACTTAACATCTTGGTTAAGCATTAATCATTAAAATAAAAGGGATTTTTGTATCTATAAGGGTATTTCATGGTCTTAAAACTGCAAAAATCCTTGAACCGGGAATGTGTTCTCTAGCTGTCTATGTCAATACTCATGAATGTTTCTAAATGCCTGAGGACATTAACAGGTTTATATGGAAATTATTAGTTAGAGAACCAGGTTGAAGATGGCTTCTATATAGTCATAGCGTATATTCCCTAAAGCGCTTTAATAAAGTGTGTGACAAAGTATCTGAGCATGTGATAGTCATTCCCTTTTAACTCAGCAGCTCAACTGTCTTCTGGCTTTCAACAGCGCATGTAGATAACTTTGTCTGCTGGTTGTGTGCAGACAAACAGCTTTAGATCTCTTGAAGAGATCTAAATCTTATGGTAAGTAACATTACATGTGACTTCCCTGAAAGCAATATGGTGCTGGCATCCTGAATTGATTTTGATGCATTTAAGAAGGCTTCTGAATTAAAGTCTGACCATTAAGCACAGCAAGGCATGTCATTTTTCACTAGATCAAAGCTTGTACTTTACAGTTCATCATAAAAAGCTTTCCTCAAAGAGCTGGGTGGTGCAATCTAAGGTTCTGTACCTGTATCAATGATAAGAAGTAACCATGTAGTTCACTCATCAGCTAAAGATTATGGAGCAGATACTGTGCTGGCTTTAGGTGTGATCATAGCCAAAATGATGAATGCTGTGTATTGCAATGAAGCAGGTTCCTGAGTGACTTCCATTTCTTGTGCTAGATGAGTTTTTTTAGTGATTAGATAATTCTATTGAATAGAGCTTGACAATATTACACTACCTGTGCTGTTTTTCTGTTGAAAATAGCCTTCCTGTTGCAACATACAAAGTAATGCAAATTCCTGCAGCAGAATCAAAGGGGAGGGGGTGTGAAACAGTGAAGGGGGAAGAAGGATACTGTTGTGCCCAGGCTTGTATATTGCAGAAATACTCAGGCATTTTAGTTTTTAGGCACAGGTTGTAGCTTCTTGAATAATGGAGATGAAAAAGCTTGGGCGTGAGACTGATCAGTTGCTGTCAAATTATCTTGGTTGCGGCATGAAGTATTCTGAAAGAAGCTGAACAAATTACATGCATGTTCATACAGGAGCAAAACTTCAAAACCATAGCTGCCTTTAGGCATTACTCTTGTTTTTTATCTTGACGTGCAGAGTTATGTTAAATCTCCCTTCCTGGATAAATTCTGAAAGTGTTAGAAGCAGGTTAACCCCCTTCATCAAAGGACATAGATAATTGGTGAAATAAATGATATTGGTGAAATGAATGAGTCATTGTGGTAGAGAGATACAAAACAAGGGAAACTTAATGATAGGGAAGTGCTTTTAAAGTCTGTTTCAATACACTGGAGGTTCCCACTTGACAAGCATGCTGTTTTAGAGAGTATACTGTGCTGACCACAATGTAGTGTAGGAGGTGAATATAGCTTATTGATGAAACTAGTCAAATGTCATTGAAAGAACACTTTAAGGACTTTTTGTATCATAAACTTTTGATCCAGTCTTGTAAGACCAGCAACTGAGTAGTGTTAGCTGCTGCTTTGATTACTTTGGTTATCACTGTCAATCACATCAGCCTGTACAAAGATGGAACTTTCTGGAGGACAGGAGTGGTAAAAGTCACAGATGACCACTTGAACTTGGCTTCTCCTGAGGAATGTCACTAATGGCAACTGGTAGACAAATTGGTTTTTAGAGCTTTGACTGAGAGATTCTGCATTAACTTTGGTTTAATAGCATCCTTCTTCCAGGACTTTATTAGAACTTCTTTGGAAAAGTGACTATTGAAACTGAAGCACTGCTTTAACTGCAAAAGTGTGGCTATAAAATTGGCCAAACAGAAGAAGAATGATTGTACTCCAGTGTTCTAAACATGCTTTAGACAAGATTTCAGGAGTTGAATGCTAAGACTTGTAGCATGCAAATTTATTAAACTCTTATCTTTCTCCACAAAAAGGTCTCAAATCTAGCTTGTTAGAGCTATATAGCAGCCCCAAAGAGGACGGACGAATCGGATTAAGTATTTTGCTCACATACTAAGTTGAGGAAGAGCTGGAATATCCCATCTTTTCTATGAAGACAAATGAGTCTTAGATATAAGAGTTGATGTTAAGCTTTTAACGTTTTTAGGAATTTAACTTGCTCTCACCTATAGGAAACCATGAGAAATGGTGAAGTGTGTACAAGAAACTGTGGATGTGGGAGAAGGAGGATTTAAACTGAAATGAACACTTGCAAAGCAAGACAATGAAGGTAAAATGCAAGTCCTCTTACTTAGGTATGCAGGTGTGATGCTGTACCTAATAGAACTGAACCCTTCCTGTCCCAATGGACTATGTCCTCTGGAAAGGTAGAGTGCTTGGTAGCTATGCACCTTCTGTGGAACATAGCTGTGTACTGCTGGATATTTTGGTGGCGGAGTTTCAAAGGCATTCAGGCCATTCCAGTATGTGAGATAGCATACTTCCATGTGAAAAACCTTATAGCTTCAAGCAGCTGTGTATTTCAGTTTTTCTCAGTCTGCATTTCTGCTATTGATGTCAGAAGACTGCCAAGTTGCTTCTATGTACCAGGTCATTAACTGGTTTCTTGCATTATGGTCTGATTCTATTGAAAAAAAGAAGTCTAAAGCAAGCCTTAAGTGGTGACAATGCATCCCTGAAAGTCTATAGGGGTCAACCAGAAGACATATATAGCCAGCTATACATACACAGCTCTACGCCAGAGAGGCACAAGCTTAAATTGCTTTCCAGAGGAGTCCCTCTTAAGTGTGGAGAGCTTTGAGGCAGTAGTCTTTAGAGGTAGTCAAGGTAGTCTTGTACCAACTTGTCCTTACCCACA